GTAGGCGATGTCCTCCAGCTCGTAAGAGGTCGACCGAAACATGGTCCGGTCCCGGAGCCGTGGCTGCCTTGTCTGAATTGCGGCGCGTATTTCAGCTGATAGAATCCGTAGTGACATCTCTCCAATGGGAATAACGGGGTTTGACACGGGTGTTGACGAGCTGAAGACATTCATGTAGAACCCTCCGTAATCGATTCCATCTTCTGTCGAGAAGATGTGCGAGTCCGTCTTCGTTTGTAATATTGTCAGCGGAGCACGGTAGTCGAGAAGGTTCCTGCAGTACTTCTTCAGACTTCTCCATCCTTGTGCTGCTTCCAAAAGTTTCGTTGGCTGTGCTTCAGAAGATCTTCTTGCAAAGCTGTTCTGACTGGTATTGGCCACCAATCGCTTGAGATGTGATGCACTCGGACCCAGCCTCAGTGCTCTCCTTCTCTAGCAGGTCCTTGGTGGCTTTTGAAATTTGTTCCAAGTTCCTTATTCGAGATATCAAGGCACTTTTACCATAGGCCCTCATTCTCTGAGCAGGTCGTAGTCCTTCGTTGGGTCCTCCTCTATGGGTCAGTCACAAGTGGTCAAGAGCTCCTCCAATCTAACGCCATCACAGACTTCTTTCCTTCCTCCAACACGGTAAAAGATCTTCCTTTCCAGCTTTCGGCGGCATAGCCCTTTTTCTCGAAAGAGGCGATGATCTGAACCCTGCTGAAAGATGGTACCACTGAGACGTCTAGTAAGCGCCACCTTTGGTAAGTGAAAATGTGGTCGATCTCCGCATAAGTCGTACCATTGGATGACTTCCACCTCTACTGCCGTTGTTCTTTGTCGTGCGGCGGATAAAAGCCCAACAACGGTTACCATTCAAGAACTTCGCCTTGCGGATAACTTCCTCCAAATTCTCATAAAAATCTTCCGAGTCATCGGTTGTTGATGCAGGAGAATAGCAGCTGATGATATTGATGTTTTCTAATGCAGAGGACGGAGTCGAGGGATAGCCAGGCGAGATGATAGGATCTCAAACGAATCGACAAGATGGACAACAGATGGGTGTACGACAAAGCTGACGCTTCCAACGTTCCGTGATGGAACTTTCTCACCACGAATGATATCCCAATCATATGCCTCCCTTCTTGTGACATCCCGATTTTCGCATTGAAGTCACCCACGACGAACTTATAGAAGAAGTTTTCTTTGAGGATAACTTTCTTCAAATCCTCATAAAAAGCATAAAGTTCCGAATCATCAGCTGCTGATGTTGGAGAAGAGCAGTTGATGATAAAGATGGCTTTCTGATGGAGAGGACGGAGTCGAAGGATAGCCAGGC